TTGTGCTGCACTGTATTTACACCAAGCAGTCCTCTTTTTCTAACTTAGTTCTATGTCTTCTACCCTCTTTTGTCAAGGTGGTTCCTACTGATAATGATCTACTTCGGGTTTCTGAGGCTATAAAACATTATGGGTGGAGACTGCCTCATCTCCATCCTGAGGGGTGGCTGGTGGATTTGAACCAGTGATTTTTCAGATAGCAAGCAGTCCAGTACATTAATTCTCTATGAACTGATCACTCTGAGAGTAAGTATATAAAATAATGTCTAAAAGGGTTAAACTGAGATGTTAACTATTCTGCTAAGTGAAGCCCTTTTCAGAGCGTGGCCTATCTCCTCAAACTCTGGCTGTAATACGCTCCACTCAGAGTATTCTTTACTACTTCTTTGATCCAGTGACCTCATATTACACTCTACATCATTCCTTTGACGTGATCACACAAGACAGCATATTTGACTCTCCTTGAAAACAGTTGATTACTGTCTTCTGATAAAGCATCCTTGCCAGTATTCCTAGCAACAAGCACAGTTTCTGACTTGTTCTCCTAGGTCTGCCCTTAATGTCTAGTTAGCTTAATCCATTTAAAAGCCAACACAGTTTAATACTGACAAGCACTGCTTACTAGCTCTATGACTTTGGGCAAACTACTTTAATCTGCAATTCAGTTTCTTCATTTGTGAAATGGAGATAGTAACAGTACCTACTAGAGGCTCTTGGGTGGAAAGAGTTATATTTGCACAGTCTGGCACATACTAAACATGCCTTATGTTTTAGCTGCTGTTATTGTTACATTTTCTCCTCTGAGGAAGTTAACGCAGGGTTTACTAATTATTTGGATGAGGAAAAGGCAAAAGGGATTCAAGGTACACCATCGGTACATCAAATTCAGTACATCAACTGAGCTGATGAATGTGTAATTTTCATTTCTCTTGTGTGTACAAATTAGCTTTACTAATTTTTTTGCTTTCCAGTCAGCCATCAAGATTACTTTTTCCATTCCAAAATCAATCTCCACAATAGTCTATGTGTTTCCTACTGCCAAAGGGGCCCTATAGAGTAGTGAAAGAAGATCTTCACCCTGAAACCTACAGCATCCCTTTTCAGCAGGAAGTAGCTAAGAATATGCCATCCCCTTTTCCTTATGAATCAGGGTGAAGTCTCTCTCAGGGAGGAGTGATAGGGAATGGCAAAGGACACACTGACAAAGGAGATTAATCAGAACTGACTTTGACATGCACTGTGGCAATGGGACAATTAAAACAGATTTTCAAGGGGGGGGAAAAAGAGGAACGAACTGGGGAGGAGGGTAGAGAAAATAGTGCAACAATGGATGAATGGAAACTCAAAATCTCTGTAAATGTTCATTAAAATTAATAAAATTTAATAACAATTTTTTAAAAAGAGGGGAAAAAAGATTACTTTTTCCTTAACAAGTTTCATACTTTCTGAGCAAATAATACAAAGATACTTAGGATCAACTCCAGCAGCCAATGTTTGATTCTAGAAAATGATGTACAGAAAAAAAAAATCCCACAACTTCAGAATTTTACTGGAACCTGAGTTAATAAGTAGAAAACACAGGAAAAAAAGAGCAAACAACAACTTGAGTTACATCAGAATGGAAAAAAGGAACTAAAATTCTAAATTACGCAACATGATTAACATTAACAAATCCTCCAGAATTTTAAATAAAAATAATAATTTGTTCAAAGTTGAATTGATGTTCATTGAGAAGTGTTATAATTTTGCACCACAGGGAATACTTTTTACTTTTCTTAAAAACCAAATAAACGGCAATTGTTAACCTGTCACATTATTTTTATAAATAAGGGGAAAATTTGTCTTCTCTTCACATTTTAGTTGAAATATTTTAATCATGTTTTTGTAGGTAAAATTTTTATTATTTTAAACAAAGCTTCAGCTGAACCCTGGTTCTGCTAAATATTTAACTGAAGGTTAGTAAATTTAACCAAAATAAAAAAGTTTGTAAATAAACACGAAACTATCAAAGATATGTCTTTTTAAAGATGTGCTACTAGCTTTTCCACAAATATGCCTATAAAAGGAGAAAAAAACAAGAAAAATATCAGTCTTGGGAATTTGTGCCTTAACCTCCCTAATCAGTTTTCCTTTCAGTTAAGCCACTTTCCTCATGTGTTTGCTTCTGGATTAAAGCCAGAATCAACAGTGTTCCTATTTCTAATCAAATAATGGGAAAACAATTACAATACCAAATGCAGTAGAAAAGCCCAGGAGACAGAAGGTCTGGATCAAACCTGAGCAGGGCCTGTGGCTCCTTTTGGACTGTAAGCAAGTCATTTAACATCTCTGCTGCTTTTGATAGGATTAGAATGATGCTGTTTGGTTTTCTGGGTATGCTATTAACAGTAATTCAAGATACGATCATAGACCTTTGAAGAGGACAGGAAGATTAGAGAGAAGGCTGCCTCTGTGGCTTGGAAAAAAGATTTGGAATGCTATATCCGTTCTATTTCCATTATATTTTTAATTAAATAGACTGAAGTTTCCTGAAAATGACAAAATTTGCACAATATAAGATGTATAAGTATATAAGATGGAAATAAAATGAACTATTTTGTAACTTGTTTAACATCAGAGGTAAAAACTTCAGAATCACTTTTGTTTATTTGGAGATCAAACTTATAGTTGGGTTTTTTTTAAAAAAATGTCGTTTCTTAAAGGATCTCCTTGCATATACATTCTTGAGATACATAACAGAGCTATATTCAGGAAAAAAATTGATATAGCACAGATATCCTCTATGACTGTGTTTACAGGTACAATTTTAACTTTCTTACATTAAGGATATAGTCTATGTGTTAATGAGAACATAAATATACTTCCTTCCATAGCTTTTACCTTTCACCTTTCTTCTATCATGTTTATAAGAGTTCACTTAAAATGTCCCTTTATGAAGCTTTATATTGTAGCAATTTGAGTTTTTAATTGTATTTTCCAAACTTATATGTTAGACTCAGAATAAAAAGTTCTATGTTGGACTTAGACCACCTTGCCTTCTGTAGTTAGTTCTCTACTTCTCTTAATCCACTCAGAAAATGAAATTTTACTCTTACATTAGAAAATAGTTTATATGCTATACTCAAACGTCTTTTTTCTATATTTTAGTATAAGTTAATGTATTCAATTCATCTAGCTTGATAATACCTGGAATAATGTAGGCACACGGTATCTGCTTGAATTTTATACAGAAATAGTTACTAACACAGTAATAAGGTAAAACCATCAGGAGTTTTCACAAATTACAGCTACAAATCATGTGATATACATATACAAAAGGAGAGCTCATTTAAAAATAGATCTGAAGATGTTGATTAGCACTTCTCTGCATTGAGCAATTGCTTGTGTTCTGTTTGATTTATTTACCTTTTTAGTGATGTAATTTATTCATTATTTTACTTGTTTTTATGCATTGTACACATAGTGATATTCACAATATTGGATAAAAAGATCAAATCATTACAAGCAAATTCTAGATTATTACAATAAATTAACTTTAATTATACAAATCTCTGCTCAATGTAAAATGGAATATTTCATCTTTAAGTGTTTTTTTGTTCAGTAAATATAGACATGAAATAAAAATTAAAAGTAGATCCCTTTCCTTTTCTCCCTTGAAAGAAATAAACAAGTAATTTTTTTCTGTACCTTTCTGTGTACATAAATGAGACTTGTCAGCGGGAAAGACAAGGCTCTTTTCAGGGAGAATCTCTCAGTGTAGGTGTCTGGTGACTTTGTCTGCCAGACTATTCAATCCTCCAGAGACAAATTCCCTGATCTCCCACCCGGAAAGCTATGGGACTATTCTATGACTGGCTGCCAGTGTATTTAGAACGCGGGATAAAAATAGCGTGGATGAGATTCAACCTTTTAGAACAATGTCTCATTCTGTTCTCTTCTGAACCTGCCTTCCTGCTACCCTGTTTTTCTGGTTCAGTCTTAATAAAAAGCACCATCAGTTGCGGTAATTGATTCTAACTCATGGAGAGACTGTGTGTGTCAGATTAGAACTCTGTTGCATAAATTTTTCAGGGGCTGAAGGTTTTCATTTGCAGAAGTAGATCACGAGGCACTTGTAAAGTGCCCCTGTACAGACTGGCACAATCTTGAACAGCAGCAAAGCATGTTTGCACCAGTCGGGTATTCTTAATGGAAAGTAAAATGTATGAGTTCTGATGAAGTGAGGGAAGAAGTCTCCACTTGATTTGTCAGTGTTTGAAGGTTTTGACGACAACCTCTGCACCGTCTTCCAGGCTCACAGATGCCTTGGTCTTGCTCTTGTCTAGGGAACTGCCTTGGGACTTAGCCTGCTTCTCTGCTGCTGCTGCTTGTTCATTGCTTTTACCAGCTCCCGCAAAGGCTTTTCACCACTTACAAACTTGTTATCGCCTGCCATGTGCTGTCCCTTTCTCTTTGGAGAGAAACACTGGTGTACGGTGGTTAAGTGGTTAAGTGCTAGACTGTAACTTAAAATGTCAGTGGTTTGGGCCCACCACCTACGCCATGAAAAAAAAAGATATGGCATCTGCTTCTGTAATTATTTACAGCCTTGGAAACTCTATAGGGTAGTTCTACTTAATTGTTAAGTGTCGATGAGTTGATCTTCAATTCATAATAAACTTATAGAGGAAAAATAACATCATATAGGTAACATCTAAGAAATCACGCAAAGAGGAAGAATCCTTTCTATATATATATATATTTTTTTTTTTAATAAGTCTTCCATTTCCTCTCAGAATCTATTTTGGGCTACACCAAGCATCATCAGTTTGTGCCAGAGAAGGCTTGGAAAACCTGAGTGAATTTCCCAGGTGGTGTGCAGATTCAGGACAACTGCGAACTTATTGTATCAGAGCTTCTAGAGCTACTTGTGTCTGAGTCTAACTCTGGTCTCATAAAAAAATTCAAGTCAACAAATCAATGAAATTCTTTTTGTTCTTACAGCTCTTTCAATGGGGAAGATGGAGAAGTTAATTAGTTTCATTCTTGTCTCTACTGCTTTAGTGATGGTCCAGGAAAGCTGGGTAAGTTTATAGTAAAAACAGTATTATCTATAATGTCTGCTATAAATGAATTTTTAAAAAATTTTGCAGAAAGTCTATAGTAATTTGTCACTGAAAAATTTAACTGATGGTAAAGTGCATGGAAAAGGTTTATATAAACAGCTGGCCCATATAGGCACTTGTTATTGGTTGTTGTTGTTGCATATCATCAAGTCAGAACTGACCCGTAGCTGATCCTCAACGGGGTTTTCAGAGGCAGTTTAATCACATGGAAGGAAAGTGCCCATCTTTCTTCCACAGAGCAGCTGGTGGATTTGAACTCCTTGTCTTCAGGACTGCTGCACAGTTTCTTATCACTATGCCAGGAGGCAATAAGTCAGTTCTGACTCTTAGTGGCCCTATGTACAATGGAACAAAACACTGCCCATTCCTGTGCCATCTGTATAATCTATATTTGCTGTGTTTGGGCTCTTTTTTGCAGCCACTATGTAGATTCATATCATTGAAAGTCTTTCAGCATCATAATAGATAGAGAAAAGATGGAAATTGTCAACATTTTAATCTTACTTGGATCCACAACACCCTGGATACTGGCAGTCAGGAGATGAAGAGATGTATTGCACTCGGAAAGTCTGCTGTCAGGAACCTCTCCAAATTACTGAGGTGTTTGATAGTTTGAAGACTTTCAAGCCATGATCTTTTCAGTCCCTTGCTATGCTGCTGAGATCTAAACAATGAATATGGATGACAGAAGAAAAAATGATGCTGTTGAGTTGTAGTCTTGGAGAAGGGTCCTGCATAAAAAAGAACAAATATGTCTTAGAAAAAGTGCAGCCACAGGGCTCCTTGGATGCAAGGATAATGAAGCTTCATCTCCCATAATTTGGGCATGTTATTAGGAGGGGCTGTTCTTTGGAGAGGGAAATCACACTTGGAAAGATGGAGAGCCAGTGAAAAAAGAGGAAGACCTTCAACAAGATGGACAGTGACTACAGCAATGGGTTGAAATGTGTCAGAGATGATGAGGACTGCACAAGATTCAGATCTGTTGTAGGGTTGCTATGCATTGTGCTTGACTTGAAAGCACCTAACAACAACAACAACAACTTTACCAAGCATAATATCCTTCTTCAGGATCTATCCTCTCCTGATAACATGTCAAAAGTATATGAGATTTGGGGGGGGGAGGGCTGGGCGGGGAGAGAAGTGCAGCAATGAATGAATGGAAATCCAAAATCTCTGTAAATGCTCATTAAAATTATTTTTTAAAAAAGTATATGAGATGAAGTTTTGCCATCTTGACTTACTTAGAAGAAGAATTCTGCCTATGATTCTTCTAAGACAAATTTATTTGTCCTTTGGGTACTCTATGACACATTTAAAATAATTCTCCAGTGTCATAATTCAAAGACATCAGTTCTTCTTTGGTTTTTCTTTCCCATTTTCCAACTTTAACACGCATATGAGGCAATGGGAAAATTATGGCACTGGGTAGAGTTACTTCTCGAAGTGACATCTTTGTTCTCAGGACTGAGGTTTTTTTGGTGGCCGAGTTCCCCAGTGAAATATGCCATTTTATTCCTTCACTGCTGCTTCTATGGGTTTTGATTGTGGATCCAAGTAAAATAAAATTCTTGATAGTTTTTATGTTTTCTCTGTAATAGATGTTGTTGTTGTTGTTGTTTTTATGTGCTGTTGAATCACTTATGACTCATAGTGACCCTGTATACAACAGCTCAGCACCTTGCTCTATCTTGAATCAACCTCATTGTCTCTGATATACCTACTCTCATTATCCCAGTCGCTGAGTCAATCCATCTCAACCAACATCTTCCTCTCTTATGCTTTCCCTCCATCCTTCCAAACATGATATCCCACTCCAAGGACTGGTCCCTCTTAACAACATGCCCAAAATGTGACAGATGAAGCTTCAGAATCCTTGCCTCTAAGGAGCAGTCTGGCTTCACTCTCTCCAGGATGAACCTGTTTGTTCTCCTACCAGTCCATGGTATATTCAATACTCTCTTCCAGAACCACAACTCAAAGATACCAATTCTTCTTCTATACTCTTCTTCATCTTTAGTCATTGCCCAGCTCTCCAATACATAGTAAGTAATTGTGAAGACCATGACTTGAATCTTTGCATCAGAGAGCTGGATAATTACTTAGGAGGACAGATGAAGAATTGGTGCTTTTGAGTTGTGATGCTGGATTTGTGGTTTTGAACATACCACGGACTGTCAAGAGAACAAACAGGTCTGTCCTGGAAAGCATGAAACCAAGTTTCTTCTTGGAGGCTAAGATTTTGAAGCTCTGTCTTACATACTTTGGGCACATGGCCTGGAGGGACCTGTCCCTGGAGAAGGACATCATGCTTCGAAGGGTAAAGGAGAAGCACAGGAGAGGAAGGCTCCAGATGAGATGGATTGACATAGCAAGTGGGGTAATGGGGATAAGTGTGTGAGCGTCTGTGAGACTGGCTCAGGATAGGGTAAGGTTCAGAGCTATTGTACATTGTGCAGGCAACTCAATGGCCCATAACAACAACAACAACACAATGGCCTAGTTGACTCAACAGCACTTAACAACATCAATGGTGGTCCAGTGCTAAGGAGCTGTGTTGCCATCCTAGAGGCACAGGGTTCGAATTTACCAGCTTCTCTGTAGGAGAAAGATGGGCAATTTTGTCCTATGCAATAATACTGTTGATGAAAACCACTGGAGGGTCAGTTATGAGTCAGATCTGACTTAGTGGTACATGGAAACAACATTAGCTGAAACCAACTTGACAGCATCTAGAAACATAAAGGGGATTATATGTTATTCAGTTACAAATATTGTTATGTTTTTAATGCATATGTATACCCAAATGTTGTTACAAGTTCATTTCTTCTAGAAATTGGCACAGTAATGACACAATTGAACATCTGGAAAGCACTTTATTGCAGAGAGTCAGAGTATAATCTTTGAACTGAACTGTTCTTGCCTGCTGGGTAATCTCAAACAAGTTCTTCCTTTAGGATTGAACCCATTTCTTCCTTATGGAATTGTTATATGATGGAATATAAAAATTACTATAAAATTCTCAGCAGTCATTCTGACATTACATCTTTTTTTTTTTTTACATTACATCTTTATTTTAGGAGCTTCTGTATGAAACATAATCTCCAATTCATCAAATAACAGAGTAATAGAACTTTCAGAACTACTTCCTTATTTGAAAGGGATTCCAATAGACAAACTGGGGACAAGAAAATGGAATCACTGGTTAATCTGGTTTGCTAGGTACATTCACTTTCCATGAACACTCATTCTGCAGGCCCTCGAGGACTGTCTCCGGGAGCAGGCACGACTCAGGTCCCAGGTACTTCTGCTTGAGACCCGCGTCAAGCTGCAACAGATCAAGATTGCTAACCTTCTGCAAGAGAACGAAGTCCAGTTCCTAGATAGAGGAGATGAGAACAGTATCTTTGACCTTGGTGGAAAGAGACAATATGCAGGTTAGAATTTATTTTTAATAAATGTCATAATAAGTTCTGGTGTGATCACGTATTATGTGTTATACTGCTAACCAAAAGATCTGCAGTTTGAATCCACCAGGTGTTCAGTGGGGAAAAAATGGGCAGTGTCCTGCTGTAAAGATTTACAGCCTCAGAAACCTAAGGGAGGAGGGTCATTAGGCATTGGAACTACTCAGTAGCAGTGGAATTTCAGTGAGTTTTAGTAACTTTTATATTCATCTGTAATGATGATGCTAGTTACATAGTCACTTCAGATTTGGCCAAAGAGCTTTTCTTATTTTAACAGTAAGTAAAACTAAGCATTATATAAATTTAAAATGTCTTCTACATATTATCCTTTTCTATCATATCTATAAGGATCTCTGGTTGTTTAGTGGTTAGAAGTTGTTCTGCCAATCTAAAGGCAGGTGGTTCAAATCCACCTGCAGTTGGAAAAATGATGGGCAATCACCTCCTGTGTGATTTACAGCCTCTGAAAACCTGTTGGAGAGTCAATCATGCATCAGTTCTGACTTGACAGTACATAACAACATATAAATGCCAAACATCTGAGAGTATAGCTAAGTAAAACTTCAAGACATAGTTTAAATATCAGATGATAATGATAATGATAAAGGCAGATGATTATTGTTAAGCTTTGTTTTTATATATGTATGTTTTCTTGTTGCATTTATTCAGTTTTCTAGATTCTGGTTTACTTCAGAGTAGACAAAAAAGTAATAGAATCAAAAGCTTGTTGTTGTTGTTATGTGCCGTCGAGTCGCTTGCGACTCATAGCGACCCTATGTACAACAGCCCTAAACTCCACTCGTTCCTGTGCCAATCGCACTATCTCTGACACTCCCATCCCAATTATCCCAGTCACTGAATTAATTCACCTCATATCAAAATAATAGAATCATTTAGTAAAATAAACAGTTATTTTATATATAATTTTATAATAAGATAATAATTTTTATTTGAATTAGTTCAGTATTTCCTCCTGAAAACAAAATGATCTTAAAACTGTGAACATATTTGCGTGTGTCCCTGCACGTATTATAATTTTATTTACTGTGAGTGATTATTTATTTGGAGTCTGCCAGAAGCAAAATACAAAAATATTTTAAAAAGAATTGTTGTTGTTATGTGCCGTCGAGTCGCTTGCGATTCATAGCAACCCTATGTACAACAGCCCCAAACTCTGCTTTGTTCTGTGTCAATCGCACTGTCTTCGACCCACCCATCCTGGTTACCCCAATCATTGAATCAATCCACCTCCTAGAGGACCTTCCCCTCCTACGCTGTCCCTCCACCCTCCCAAGTATGATGTCCCTTTCCAAGGACCGGTCCCTCCTTACAACATGTCCAAAGTATGTTAGACAGAGCCTCAGAATCCTTGCCTCCAAGGAGCCACCCGATTTAAGCCTTTCCAGAATGAATCTGTTAGTTTTCAGAAACAAAAAGATGGCATCTAAAGCATGCCTTGATAGAGAGCATGCCTCTACTTTAGCCCTGGAATCCCTGGATAATACAAATGATGAATTCACTTGCTGTTAACGTAAAGGTTGGAGGTTAGAATCCACCCTGAGGCCACTGAAAACCTATGGAGTGTGGTCATACTCGGACATACATCGTGAATCAGAACAGACAACAGCAAAAGGGGGTTCACTTGTTTCTTAATGTTAGCACCACATTACAATGTCTCTTTTCCTGAGTCTATCTTGGTTAATTAACCTAGGCCAAGGAATTGGCTCACATAATCGTGAGAAGTCTAAAATCTATGGATCAGTTAACAGGCTGGAGGATAATGCTATCTCTCAGACTGGGGAGGGGAAAATGGAAAATTCAGTGTCTGTAGTTTAGGCAGCAAATTGGAGACTTCTGCAGGGTTGAGTCCCTAGGCCATACAACAAAAGGAGGGAGTTCTCCTGAAGTGTCTTTTCACAGTCTGAATGCAGAAAATACCCTAGGGAATTCTTCTTTCAACTAATTGATTGATTACACGACATTAGATTACATTATGTAACCTGATTACATCACAGTGTATTAGATTACAGCAACCAGACTCATATTTGGAACAATCCACTGGGAAGTCTAGCAAAGTGACACATACAATGATTACCAACATGATGAATTGGTGCCTCTGAGATGTGGTGCTGGAGAGGAGTATTGAACATACTATGGACTACCAAGAGAACAAACAAGACTGCCCTCGGAAGAGTGAAATCAGGTTGCTCCTAGAGGCAAAGATTTTGAAACTCTGTCTCACATAATTTCGGCATATTGTCAAGAGGGATCAATCCTTGGGGAAGGACATCATGCTTGGAAGGATAGAAGGTCAGCACAAGAGAGAAATGAATACCGTACAAGAGATGGATTGACACAATGACTGTGGCAATGGAGTCAGGTATGTCATAGATAGTGAAGATGGTTAAGGGTAGGGCAAGGTTCAGAGTCATTATTTGTTGGGTCACTATGAGTTTCAGTTGTCTTGGCAGCACATAACAACACATTCTGACTACACTAAGCCAAGCTCAAGATCCAGGATAGCTACTAAGACACAATGAGAGAAGATTATCAACATAGATTCAACTACCAGAAAACTGGCAGGAGGCAGGCAAGCAGATATGCATCGCTGGGACTGAGTCACCAGATGAGAAACCAAACAAAAATTCCACTGCCATCCATTTGAAGACCTAAAGTTATTGTTATTGAGAGTGCCAGGAAGCCAGCCTCATGAAACAATAGCTTACCAAGGAGTAAAATAAGCCAATTAGTAGGAACATGAAACATCAAAGTCAGAGAGGGTCTACTTCCAGATCTGGTGGACAATACCCAGATAACAATTACGTTATATATGAGTGTGCATCTTATATAGTGATATGAAAGACAAAGGACATTCTGGAAGACTGTTTCTGTATGTAACAGTTGAAAAGAAAAAGCTGTTCAGAAATAAGTAGATTCACATGTAATATTATATATGTATAATTCAAGCACTGAAGACAACAGGAAGACTAGACTACAAACTATAAATGCAGTTCAATTGTACTTTATTTTTTGGCATATAGACATTTGGCACTTGAGAGCTTATCAAGGGAGAACAAAATAAAATATGTAATAACTTTCATAAACTCTAATTTATAAATTAAAATTTATGACTGATGAATCTCTGATTCAGGACATGGTCTTTTCAATCACTTGCTATGGATCTGAGAGCTGGGCAATGAAGAAAGATGACAAAAGAATTCATGACTTTGAGCTATGGTGCTGGAGAAGAGGAACAAACAAATATGTCTTGGTGAAAGTGCAGCCAGAGTGCTCTGTGGAGGCAAAGATGATAAACTTTTATCTCACATACTTTAGGCATGTTGCTAGGAGAGGCTATACTACCTTGGAGAGAGAAAGGTGAAGGGTTATCAAAGGAGAGAAAGATCCTCAATGAGATAGACTGACACAGTGACTGCTTCAATATGTACTCAACTTGAAAGCACCTAACAGCAACAAGTATAAATTCTAGGAAATAAATAATACAGAAAAACAACCAAATCTATTGCTCTTGAGTTGGTTCCAACTAAAATAGTTGGTTCAATTAAAGCAGTTTAATTTACATAAAATTTTATAAATATACAATGACTTGCTTACCTCAAAGTTTACATTTTTATGTCCTTAAATTTACAAGTTAATAATTTACTCAAGTAATTCACTTCTGGAGTCTAATTCAAGATAGGAAATACTTAATTACATACAACCTAGCAATTTGCACAAACAATGCTCAAATCATGTGATTTTTATACAGCACATAATTAAAATGTATTCTTTTCTTTTTAAATACTTGGTTAATACTACAAGAGAAACCTAAATCAAAAGATTACATAGTACAAAATTCACATTAATTAGAAACAATACCAACAATCTTTGCATTACAACATCTGTTCAGCAAGCTAGATAGACGACTGGCTTAATTACAGCCCCTTTGGCAGGAACCCCACATCTTTCTGAGAGAGTCTCTTGAGTTAGTCTGCGTAGTGCTTAATATAGAGACTCTGAGGCCTGGTTTCAAAGTTCACGGATGGCCTTTGAACAAGTTACTTAAATTCTATGTGCCTCATATTCTCCTCATCCATCAGGCAGATGATAGAATGTATCTTCTTTATTATAAGGATTTAATGACTTAATATATATAACATGAAAACAGTGGTATTTAGCACAAAGGAAGTGTTCATTGAGTATCAGCTGTTGAGGTTACTATAACATTTCTCCTCTGTTTTCAGAGACCCACCCACCTTACCCCAAAACAATACTGCATTCTCCAAGGAACAAATATCCTTTCACCTAGTATGAGAAGTCCTACATTGCCTGAGGTTGAGGAGATGACAGTGGTAGAGCCAGTTATGACATCACCCAGAGTACTCTGGACTGGTTGCTGATTTCTGCTAATAGTTTTTCTTTGAGTTTAGAATAATCTGGGGGTGCTTGATGCCTTGGTTCTCAACTTTGAGCCTCATCTACTATTCAGGGACAACACTGCATGGAAAATAACTTGTATGGCCAATTGTTAATGCCACTTTATGGAACTCAAATATTCTGCTTTCCAACATAATTTGCTTTTTGTATGAGCAAAGTTTGATGAAAAATTCATCCAAACAAGAAAGCAGGAGTCCCTCACATCATTCTAGTGATAGCTTCATTCTAGTAATATGCTATTGTTGTTGGTAGGTGACACTGAATCATCTATGGCTCATGACAACCCTATGAACCTTCATCTATCTCTGTCTCACGATCTCCGATATACTCAAGTTCACTGTTATAGACCCCTTGTCAACCCATCTTGTGGAAGGTCTTCTTTTCTTCTTTGATCCTCCACATTTCCCAGCTTGATGTTCTTTTCTAAGGACTGATCCATCTTGACATGCCCAACATTTGCATGTGAGACAAAGTTTCACCATCTTTCCCTCTAAGGAACAGCCTGGTTTGCATTTCCTCCAACACAGACTTGTTCACTCTTTTGGCAGGCAATCCATGGGAAATTAAGTACTCTTCTTCAATACGACAACTCAACTTGTGTTTATATGAACAATATAATATGTAATTGTATTTTTATTTGCCCTTGGTAGGTGCTCTAGTATTATATGCATTTTGTTGTTGTGTACTATTGAGTCGGAACCCATCCATAGCTAACCCTCCAGTGGGCAGTTCATCACACTGGAGATTGCCCATCTTTCTCCCACGGAGCAGTTGGTAGATTTGAACCATGTGATTAAAGTGCAGCTTCTTACCACTAAGCCACTAGACCTCACTATTATATGCATGCTGTTGTTGATTGCCTTTGAATCGAGTATGACTCATAGCAACCCTATGAACAAAAGGCCTGAAGCCCCTCTACAACTATCAGCATTTATCAAAGTTCATAGGGTTTCTTGAGGCATATTGCTTAGGAAGCGGATGCCACTCCTGCTTTCAAACCTATAATAGAATGTTATTATTATGTGTCATTGAGTCACCTGCGATGCATAGTGACCCTATTTACAGCAGCTCTGTACACTTCCCTGTCCTGAGCCAGTCTCACTTACTCTGACACACCAACCCCCATTGCCCCAGTTACCGTATCTCATCTGGGGTCTCCCTCTCCTGCACTGTCCACTCATCCTTCTCCAAGGACCAATCTTTCCTGGCCACGTGCCCAAAGTAAGTGAGGTGGAGCTTCAAAATTATAGCCTTCAAGGAGAAACTTGGTTTCACCCCCTCCAAGACAGAACTATTTGTTTTCTTGGCAGTCCATGGTATGTTCTTCTCCAGCACCACGACTCAAAGGCACCTATTTTTCTTCTGTCATCCTTAGTTATTGTCCAACTCTCTGAAACAATAACAAGTGATTGAGAAGGCCATGGCCTGGGTTAGACACACCTTTGTAGCTAGACTGAAATTATTGCTCTTCATTACTCTGGGGAGAGGTCCATGACAGCATATTTTCCTAATACAATTCATCTTTTGATTTCTTGACTGCTGGTGTGAAGAGTGTCAGTTGTGGATCTGAGCAAGCTATAATTATTAACAACCTCAATCTCTTCTCCATTATTATGATGCTGCCAATTGGTCCAATGGTGAGAATCTTTGCCTTCTTGATGTTGAACTTCAGTCCATATTGAAGACTACAGTGCTTGACCTTCTGCAGCAAGTGCTTCAGGTCTTCTTCAGTTTCAGCAAGCAAGGTTGTGTCATCTGCATATCATAGGTTGTTAATGATCTTGATGCCATACTCCTCCTCATAAAGCTCTGGCTCCCGAATGATCAGTTCTGCATACAGATTGAAAAGGTATGAGGACAGGATGCCTCTCTCACACACTCCTTTCCTGATTTTGAACCTGCAGTGTTTCCCTGCTCTGTTCTGAAGACTGTTTAGATGCCAAAAAACAAAACACATTTAAAACGTATTTATCTTTTGTATTTTGTCCTTCCTGTCCCCTTCCATCTTGAACTATACATGAATAATATTACATGTTTATTGCTGACTTCTGAGAACTTTTTCTTGTTAGCTGTTACACCATAAATTCTAGGAATGTGTAAGTGTCCAAGTATGCACACACACTCTCCACCAGAGTCAGTCACCAGAACTTTTGACTTTAAAAAGGTAACATATGGCTGTTTTAGTAAATCATTAAAAACACGCCCAAGTAAGTTCTCTGGCTCTCCATGCAAGCCAGAAGTTAAACGGCTCCTAGTTGGCCTTGCCAAAGAGTTGTATTCTGCACTTTTACTAAAGGCAAACTGCCCCTCCTTAGACTCCCCTCCAGTTTGCTAAACACAGCCATATGACTGGTTTAATGGTTAGAAAGAAAAGACTTCAGAACCCTTGTCAAGATGGAAAATGGAATTAGGGCTCCCATTATAAAACTCAGCTTTTTATAACCCCAAAACTCCAGCATTTAAATTCTAACACCCTGGACATATAAACAAGAGAGATACCATTAATATTCACTGAGTCTCATACGATTTGTACAGAATAAGGGGATATGGTGAGTAAGGCCAGCTCTCTTGTTGAGTTGATCAGAGCACTAGTACTTAAATGCTGAAGAACTTAAGTGTTTCCCTTCTAACATTGCCTGGGGTTTAGGATAGGCATTACAGAGCCACTCTTACAAAGAACTCAAGTATTTTTTAAAGATAGTTTTAATTGATTAAAACTTTCTTGGTGATGAATTAACAGTTAATTTACATAGACGATCAAAGAAGTGCCAAAGCAAGGAAGAATGTAGGGAATTGTAGAAGCCTGTAGTCTTTAGCAAAAATATCTGCAGACACTGTTAGAATTTTTAGTGGATTAGTAAAAAGTGCTTATTAAACTTTAGTAAGAATTTGTGCAGAAAGTTATAAGAATCTGAAAAGAAAATGACTGTTTGGAGTTCATTTCCAGGTACTCATAATGACCTATAATACTCCAAATCAAGATAAACTGTGTTTAATTATTAACTAGATGTTAGCTTTTTATTTCACGTTTACCTTCAAAGAGACAAATTCCAACATTCTGCCTAATAAAGCAGTAAATCCACTTAAAATATATTCTTCCCATGTCATTATTGAAATATAATTATTTTAAAAATTGTTTTGCACCAAAAAATAAGAGAAGAGAAACCAGATCCTTTCCCATAATCACATCAAGGCATGTCTGCGCTGTTTAATCTACAGATAGAAAGAGAAATGTATTTTCTCACCGTTTAGGGAACACTGAAGTCCACTTTCAGAGCATTGACTTTCTTTGTGGCTTTGGAGGAAGATCCTTGTCTCTTCAGCTTCTGCTTCTTGGTTCCTTGGAGATCTCTATGAGTTTTGGCATTTATTTTACCCTATCTTTCCTCTGCTTTCTTATTTAATCTCTTTTATCTCTCGAAAGACACTCAAAATACTCCTTCTAATCTGTCTCACTAAAACAACAGAGACTTTGCATTCACAAATGGGATTATAATCAGAGGCACAAAGCTTGGTTGGACTTTCTGGAGACTTAATTCATAATAAAAGAGTTATGACAAATAATAAGGATATAAGAATTTCAAATTATCTACCGGAACATATACAAGATAAACTTTTAAGCAGCTAATAAGGAAAGGTGACCCAACAGAATGTGGAAATTATCGAACAATATCATTGATATCACATACAAGCAAGATTCTGCTGAAAATTATCCAAAAACGTTTGGAACAATATGTCAACAGAGAACTGCCAGATGTGCAGGCTGAATTTAGAAGAGGTCGTGGTACTAGGGATATTATAGCTAATGTTAGATGGATCTTAGCAGAAAGCAAAGAATACCAGAAGAATGTCTATCTGTGCTTCATTGACTACGCAAAGGCTTTTGACTGTGTGGATCACAACAAGTTGTGGCTGACTCTGAGAAGAATGGGAATCCCAGAACGTTTGATTGTGCTAATGCGAAACTTATACTCGGACTAAGAGGCAGTTGTCAGAACAGAGCAAGGAGACACTACATGGTTCAAAATCAAGAAGGGGGTTCGTCAGGGATGTATTCTGTCTCCATACCTTTTCAATCTGTATGCAGAACAGATCATCCGAGATGCTGGGCTATATGAAGAGGACTGTGGCATCAGAATTGGTGGAAGAATCATCAACAACCTGCGTTATGCAGATGACACAACTCTGCCTGCTGAAACTGAGGAGGACCTGAAGCGCTTGCTGCAGAAGATCAAGGACTACAGCCTCCTATATGGACTGAAGCTCAACATCAAGAAAACAAAGATTCTAACCACTGGGCCAATTGGCAGCATCAGTATGGATGGTGAAGAGATTGAGATAGTTAACAGTTTTAGTTTACTTGGCTCCACGGTCAACACTCTTGGTAACAGCAGCCAGGAAATCAAGAGACAAATTGCTTTGGGAAAGTCGGCTGTGAGGGACCTCTCAAGAGTACTGAAGAGCAACGATGTCAGACTGGAGACTAAGGTGCACCTGATCCGGGCTATAGTCTTCGCAATTACATGCTATGCATCAGAGAGTTGGGCAGTGACTAGGGTTAATAGAAAGAGAATTGAGGCCTTTGAGCTGTGGTGCTGGAGAAGAGTGTTGAATATATCATGGACTGCTAGGAGAACAAACAGGTTTGTCCTGGAGAGGGTGAAGCCAGAATGTTCCCTGGAGTCAAGGATTCTGAAGCTTCATCTGACATATTTTGGGCATGTTGCAAGGAGGAACTGGTCCTTGGAGAGGCACATCATGTTTGGCAGAGTGGAGGGGAGGCGAAGGAGAGGAAGACCTTTGATGAGATGGATCGATTCTGTGACTAGAGAGGTGGGAATAAGTGCGTTTAAGATGGCTAGGTTGGTACAGCATAGAAGAGTGTATAGAGCTCTTGTACATAGGGTCGCTATGAGTCACAAGCAACTCGATGGCACATAACAACAACAACAAATAATCTACATAATGTGTTTCTCAAACTCTATTAGTATCAAGTAATCTCATTCAAAGCTTTCCTTAAAGACAGATACACAATAAATGATACATTATTTTGTTTTGCAGACTGTTCAGAGATCTTCAATGATGGATATGAACGCAGTGGATTTTATAAAATTAAACCCCTCCAGAGTCAAGAAGAATTCTCTGTTTATTGTGACATGTCTGACGGAGGAGGATGGACGGTAATTCAGAGAAGATCTGATGGCAGTGAGAACTTTAATAGGTATGCTAAATGGGAACTCTCCTGTAGGTTGCATTGCTAACTCAAGGTGGCGCTTCTCTGGAAGCTTGAATCCAACTCGTAGCTCCAAGCAGGAAATAAACAATCTTCTCCATGTGATTTATAGCCTGGAATACGGGATGGAGGATCAGCTGCGAGTAGGTTTCAATTGAGCAAGAAAGAGTTAGAGGTGTTTGGGATTACTTTTTTCCCCCAAAGAAAATAAGGCAAGAATTTATTTTTTAATTATTAGTTTATTTACAAAATTCGAATATATTGTTTTTCAGACCAGATTCTTCCAATTTATCTCGCCTTCCCCATAAAATTGCACAACCCCATGTTTAATTTCCCTCCCCACACATCCTCATCCCTCTGCCTCCACCCTCCTCCCTATGCTGCGCCTCCTCCCCTAACCTTGGATCTTCATACTCATTCTATAATAAGGGTTTTATATAATACTTGTCCTTGTGGGACTGAGTTAGTTCACTCAGCATAATGCTCTCCAGTGCATCCCAAGTTAGGTAATAATTTACACAATCATTGCTCTTGCTCGCTGCATAGTATTCCATTTTGTGACTGTACCAAAATGTCTCAATCCATTCGATTTGTTTGGACATCTGTCCTGTTTCCATGTTCTTGCAATGGTAAGTAATGCTGCTATGAACATTGGTGTACAAGTCTCCATTTGTGCCTCAGTTCTCATTTACTCAGGGTATATTCCAAGCAGCGGAATAGCTGGGTCATATGGAATTTCTATGTTCAGCCTTTTGATGAAGCACCAAACTGCCTTCCAGAATGATTGTACCATTTTACAATCCCACCAACGATGTATAAGAGTTCCTACCTCACCACGTCCTCTCCAACACTTATTACTTGCTGTTCGGTTAAACTTTGCCACTGTTACTGGAATGAGATGGTATTTCATTATGGTTTTGATTTGCATCTCTCTTATTACCAGTGATTTGGAGCATTTCTCCATGTGTCTGTTAGCCATTAGAATATCTTCCTCTGTGAAAATTCTTGCCATGTCTTTTGCCCATTTTGTAATCAGGTTATCAGTCTTTTTCTTGTGGAGGCCCGGGAGTTAACTGTAAACTTTCATTATGAGACTTATCTGAAATAGTAATACCAAATGTTTGTTCCCAGTCTGTAGTTTCTCTTTTCACCCTATTGGAAAAAGTTTTGGATGCACACATGGATTTAATCTTTAAATTGTGCATTTCTGGCTGTATTTGGCAGTCTCTTTATACCGTAGTCTAGGGCTTCTAAGAAGACAAGAATTTCTTATATTTGAGAATTAATATAAATTTTCCCATTATATCCTGACTTCTATTAATTAGCCCAAATATTAACTAATTGAGAAAGTATCTGGAATATGGATAACAGTAGTAGGGGTATGTTTTTAGTATTAGAGATGTATTTTGCGTTTTGCCAGAATAATTTTTATCTTTGGTTTTAAGAGGCTGGAATGACTATGAAAATGGCTTTGGAAATTTTGTCCAAAAAAATGGTGAATATTGGCTTGGTAACAAAAATCTTCACTTACTGACCACACAAGGTAAGGCTTACATGATGACAAATTTATTTAAAATATAGTAAAAGCAGCATTATAGTTTGCAAATATCAGTGATCCCTTTGGGCAATGTTGTTGTTGTTGTTATTATGTGCCATCTAGTCTCCTGCAGCTCATAGTGACCCCATGTACAACAGCCCTAAACCCTTCTCTATCTTGTGCCAATCTCACTGTCTCCGACATACCTACTCCCATTCCCCCAGTCACTGAATCAATGCACCTCATAGAGTGTCTCCCTCTCCTGCACTGTCCCTCCACCCTTCCAAGCATGATGTCCTTCTCCAAGGACTGGTTCCCCCCCCCCCTTGCAACATGTACAAAGTATGTCAGATGAAGCTTCAGAATCCTTGCCTCCAAGGAGCAGCCTGATTTAACCCTCTCCAGAATGATCCTGTTCATTTTCCTAGCAGTCCATTGTATATTCTCCAGCACCACAGTTCAAAGGCATCAATTCTCCTTCTATCCTCCCTAGTCATTGTCCAGCTCTCTGATGCATAGCAACTTGCTTAGCATTTCTTAAGCTCAAGAAACTGAAGAACAAATTCAAACCTTGAGTTGCTGTAGTTAAGGATGTTTTGGGCTGAATATTAAATGATCCAGGAAGTAATAAAAGAAGATAGAAAGAGTATACATAGTCACTGTACTGAAAGGAATTGGCAGACACTGAAGAATTTCATAAAACAACATGGGAGCAAGAGCCTATGGTGATGAAGGAAGAAGTCCAAGCTGCTTTGAAGGAATTGGCAAAAAGTAAGACCCCAGGAATTGATGATATACCAGTTGACATATTTCAGCTAACAGATGCTGCCCTAGATGTGCTTACCAAGTTGTGTCAAGAAATCTGGAGGACAACCACTTGGCCAACTGACTGGAAGAGATCTATATTCTTTCCCATTCCAAAGAAAGGTGACCCAACAGAGGGTTGAAATTATCAAACAATATCATTGATATCACATGCAAGCAAGATTCTGCTGAAGATTAACCAAAAACAACTGGAACAACACATCAGCAGAGAACTACTAGAAGTTCAGGCTGGGTTTTGAAGGGGTTGTGGTACTAGGGATATTGTAGCTAAAGTTAGATGGATCTTGGCTGAAAGCAGGGAGTACCATGGGAATGTCTATCTGTGTTTTATTGATTATGCGAAAGTATTTTACTGTGTGAATCACAACAAATTGTGGGTGACTATGAGAATAGGACTCCCAGAACACTTGATTGTGCTAATGTGAAACCTTTACTTGGACCAGGAGGCAGTCATCAGAAAAGAGCAAGGAAACACTGCGTGGTTAAAAATTGGGAAAGGTGTATGCCAGGGATGTGACCAATATGCATACTTTTTCAGTCTATATGCAGAACAGATTATCCGGGAGGCTGGGCTGTATGAGGAGAAGTGTGGCATCAGGATTAGAGGGAGATTCGTTGAAAATTTGTGTTATGCAGATGACACAACCCTGCTTGTTGAAATTTGATTGCTTTTGGGCAATAAAATCCTTTATAAACTATAAGTTCTTAGTATTAAAGATAGAGGAAAAGGAACTAGACCTAGGCTGAAGATAAAAGAGGAATAGTTTGTTTTCTCATACAATGTTTTTTTTTATTACAGAGAGGTGTTATAAACAATCTTTTTTAGGTATTTAGAAAGTTAAGATTATAAATACTTTATCAGTTACCTCTTAACACAACAATGCAATGTAACAAGACTCCAAAACTCAATGAATTAAACAAGAATCATTTCTTATGTTAACAAATAATTGTTGACAAATTTGCATGTTAACTGGATGTTTCTCCAAGTGAAGAGTGGACTCAGCTAATCTTTTTTTTAAAAAAAAATTTAGATGCTCTGCTGGAGAAGGAGGGACAATCTC